TTTAGGGGTTTAGGGTTTAGGGGGTTATGGGTTTAGGGGTTTAGGGGCTTAGGGTTTAGGGTTTAGGGGAACGTGGCAGGAAGTGGCTACTGCAACACTGTAGCAGTAGGAGGCACAGATTGGGTGGGTACTAGAGCAAGGACCGCTGTGCGTGCTATTCTGCCAGGAAGTCAAGTCAGAGCCCGTCATTACGATGAATTTGTTCGGGCCCGATGTGTCTTCGCTTTCCATCCCACGGGCCTGCGACTTCTTCATGTCAACTCACCATGTGTTTGTGTCCATGCTCAGGTAGTTGCTCCCGGCAAGGTGACTGGAGTGAACCTTGGCAATGCCGCAATTAGCGCAACGCAGCTGCAAGTCTTCGAACTGGAGGCTGCGCTGTGTCCGCAGAATGGATTCATGGAGTTGTACCCAGTTGTTTAGCTGGAGTGTAGCACACCTCCTGACAGGCTTGTGTCGTTGTGTCGTTGCATAGAGCGATCGGTTTTAAGGCATTTATAGGCATTCTGCAGAAACGTCTCCGATTTTCTATCACGCTAGGAAGGCTTCCTTGTAGTGGCCGAAAAAACCATCTTTGGCACCCATCTTGCGAGGGCATTCTGCTACATGGCTGTTGTTCAGCGGATGCTGCTTGCAAGCTGTTGTTTTGGGGTTGTGCAGCAGTTATCCAGGTGGTGCCAACTTCGAAGGTTTCACCCTTAAGCGAATGCAGCTTGCAGCCAACCTGCCAGTCGTATTCCTAGAGTCCTAGAGTCCTACTATTGCCGCATGACATGGCAATGATCGCCTGATAGCTGTCTAAGTGCCCTGGTGAATCCAGCAAGGTTCTTGCAAGGTCGGTGGGCCGTTCGCTTCAGCGCACTAGCTGCCATGCAAATGCACCGGAATCATTCATTCCTAGCTCGCGCTAGGCAAGTCTCACCCTTTTGAGGCTGACAAGTTTGGACGTCCGCGACATGTGATAGATTGGCGGGGTACTTCAGCCTGATGTTTCAGGGATCCCAGCGATTTCCATCGTGTGTGTGTGTGTGTGAGTTTGTTCTTCCCTGGTAGGTGCGAGAGGTCCGTGCTTGGAATGCAGATAAAAGTGCTTCATGGCTGAGTCTGGAAGCTCTACCACAGCTCGAAGGTGTGCTGTGTCATGCACCGGTGTAGGTCATCATGGAAATCACCCAGAAGCTGACAAAGTTTGCTACCCTCGACTACGAGGTTCAATCAAGTGCCTGCTTGTAGGATGCCTCCAGTCCGAGAGAAGCTCGTACGCATGGAGATGTCTACCATCCAGTGGACGAGGAGTACCTCCGCTTCGTGGGACAGTATACATCCTTTGAGCGGGCCGAGGCGACAAGATTCCCTTCCAAAGAGGATACTATGAAAGAGTGTCTTCACGCATGATCAGGTTCAGCGAGTTTTCCGAGAGTTTGACGAAGATTCATCGGGATCTTTGGATACAGAAGAGATCGAGGCTGCGGTCCTTCTTTTCTATAGGATTGGCAGACCGCCCACGAGTTGCGTGCTGTCAGAAATGAATCGTGCAGGGTGTCATGCGCTCCTTCAGCATCACGCCCTTCAAAGCCACGGTCGTGTTGATCTTGGATGCACCGAAGCGAGAAGGCTTACCTTCAGCGACTCCTCGTGATTGTCTGCGTACTCCAGGAAGCTGCCATCGCTGTTGTCGACGAGGTGTCCGGTGTGCAACTGCTTTCCTATCCGGCCGTTTGGCATGTAGCTGAAGCTTCCAGGACCACACTGGCACAGTTGAGTTCCACGAGTTCGTCCATCTGCTGACGGCCGAATCCTCAATGGCCGCTGCGGTCCGCTGCGCAGGTTAAGCAATCGCATAGCCTCTCAATGGCTGGCGGCTCAATTGTGAGCCTGAGAAATTGGGGCCGAGCCGACTGTTGAGGTCTACAAGAAGACAGAGGGCTTCTCACAAGCAGAGGCAGGCAAACACGCAGCCCTGTACAGGGATTACGGTGCCGGGGGTCATCGCTCAGACCTATCAGATGTTAAAGGTCAAAGATCTTTATGCCGTCTTCTACAAATTCGCCGTCCCCGTCTCGGACTCCAAGCTCCGCGAGGCCCGGCTTTGAGTCCATTGCTTCATTGCTCCTACGCTGAGCGCATCTTGAGCAGCCTTCCTCTTCTTCCTTCTTGCTCTATGGATTGCTTTCCGAAGGTGCCGGAATCCGAGATGCGGAATGCCCTGATGAACTTGCTCGGCACTTGAGATCCCCGCAGCGCGACATGCGTGAAAAGCCGCAGAGTAGGCAGTTCAGATTGCGCAGAGATGCGTGTTGGCCTTCTTTTGCGTGGATCTCGCGTGAGGTTTGGCCCCCAGACGCTTAGCGTGGGAGTGAAGCTGGTGAACGAGGACACCACTGTTCCCTGCCACCTGATTGACACGCGACTGGACAGGATATGCAAATTTAGCTGCAGATTTGCTTTGTTCGTAGCTGCTGGTAACCGGTACAGTGGAGGATGCTAGTTTCCAATCTCGGAATCTGTTGTTGGATTTGTAAATTTTGTATACGTCAATGTGTGCATTCTCAGAAGAGTCTTCAGTCAGACACTGCTTGCGCCGGCAGGTCTTGGTGAAGATACAGAAGAAGAAAGAAGAAAAGGCAGGCTGAGCAGAGTCGGAGCTTGCGTCTGCAGTTGGGTCTTTGGCCTAGGCACCGTAGAGTCCAGCGAAAGCCTTGCACTTGGCAGGCAGCCAAGCGAGCTCTGTCTCGTCAGCAGGGAGGTCCGGAGCAACTCAAAGAAAATTAAACTAGTTAATGCTACTGTAACAAAAATAGCATTAATGGCAAAAGCGACAATAACAACATTATTGTTAGCAATAGCAATACGAGTAATAGTTATTACAACAACGGCAGCAACAGCAACAGCACCAGTAACAGCAACAGCAGCAACAGCAGCAACAGCAGCAACAGCAGCAACAACAAGACTAACCACAACAGCACCAAGAATAGCAATAACAGTAGAAATACTAGTCATAAAGGTAGCAGTAATCGGAAGGAGAATAAGACTAGTAAAAATAGTAACAATAGTAATAATGATAATATGATCATCCTACTAATAATCATCATAATGAAAGTGGAGGCGGAGCATCTTCTGCCAGTCAAACCGAGGCAAGGGATGAAGTTCCGCGAGTTCCTGGAGCTTCCCTCAGTTGCACTCAGCTGGGGCCGGGGTGAAATTTCAGAGCATTCAGAGCCGATGCCATACTATCATTATCACTACTACTGTTGCTTTTTGTGTTTATGATGATTATGAGTATTACTGGTATGTTTAGTGCTAGTATTTTTTTTTTTGTTGTTGTTGTTGCTGCTGCTGTTATTATTACTTTTTTTTGTTATTATTGTTCTGATTATTCTCTTCTTCGTATTATTACCTTGCTATTGTCATTATTATTTTTTATTGTTGTTGTTATTATTTTGTTATCACCATCATTATTACTATCACTATTGTCATAACATGGTTATGATTATGAATTTCATTGTTTATTCTTCTGATTTTTCGGCTTCTACTATTGTCAATCTCATTATTCATATTCTTATTCTGGTTTCAGTAATAGTAGTAATGTCAGCATTGTTCTTCTCAGTATTGTGATCATCGCAGTTTCTGATGTGCGGATGAGGTGTGGGCGAGATGTCTCAGAGAGGCTGAGATCACCGCGTGCCACTGTTTGTGAGACAGCTATCCCAAAACAGTGCCTCCTTCCGGAGCTTTTCGCAGGTACAGACGCAAGTTCGACAAGGTAGACTATACAAAGTCAGGCGGCAGAACTGCTGGAATCCGCTGTCCTGGTGCTTTCCATTTCCTGTCTCTTAGGTTGCCACTGCTTGTTCTTGGCAGGCCTCCTGATGCAGGACAACCTGAAAGCCAGCATCCAAGTTCGGTTGGTCAGTTAGTGGGCACACAGCCACAGCAAGGTGGTTACCCAGCAAAGACCATTCAGGGTCCATCCACCGAGAATCGTCCTTGCGTTTGGGTGGGCCGGTAGGTCGGCTTTTCGTAAGCCTCGTTTTCCGCCGTGTTCTTGTCATACGGTTTCATGTGCAGGTGTGCATCTTCCCAGTTCCTTTCTTGATGCAAGTCTGCCCTTGCAAGATGGCCGGTGAGGCGCGCTAACAATCCAGGTCACTGTCCACATCATTATTCGAAAGCACTGTTGTGGTGGTTTTTGCCGCGCAACCCAAGCTGAGCTCGCTCGTGCAGATGTTGTTACGATCGCTTTTGCGCCAAGGAGGCTCTTCATCACATTGGCTACACTGCCTTGCACGGCTCCCGGACAGCTCGCCCAAGTTCGACATTTAGGAGTGTAGCTGAGCAGCTGCGACATTCCGGTCCGGACTCCCGATGTCAGAGTTAGACTGCGCAAGCAGCGGAAGACCCGGAATCCTCTGGAGGCGGCCAGAGGTAGAGGACCTCTTGGAGCGCCGAAAAGTGTCCAAGGACCGTTTCTAGTGCCACCCCCTTCCACACCCTTCATGGAATCGACCACAGCAATGGGGCGGCGTGTGTTGAGAAGAAGGCTGTGGGTTGCGTGAAGATGTGCAGTATCTTGAATCGTGTCACGTCTAAAGGACGGCGCGCAGGTTCATGCAATACCATTTCCGAAAGAGCGATGGAACGCTGCTCCATGATGTTGAATTTTCCCTGTACATGGCCGGCCTAAACGCAAGTTTCTGAAACCAGCACGTGATGGCCGTGAGGTATGTAGCTGAGCGCGACCTCAACTGAGACTGCTGCTGCTGCTGCTGCTGCCGCAGCCACTTGGTAAGGCTCACATCTCGACTGCTGCGCAGGACGACATGATCGATTTCGAGTGCTTCGTCAATCTGGTTCAAGATTTCTGCCGCACAGACTCTTGGCATGTGCAGGAAAGGTCATCTAGATGCAGTCATCTTGGAATGGTGCAAGCCACATCGGATGCATCGACACAAGCCAAGGATGGGTTCAGCCGGCGCGATGTCGTGACCACCTGAGCGCTTGAGCGGCCACGAAGAATTCGAGCCGGGCCGATGTAGACACAAGCGCAGACACCGAGGACGAGTTTTTTGAGGTGTTCAGCGCTTTCGACAAAGAAGGTGCCTGACCCAGGCAAAACACGAGGTCTTCTGGGCACACTCCGGCCCAAAAAGCCCTCTGACATAGCTTGGCTGGGGGTGAGGGGCCCCTCGCGCAGCGTGTTTGGAACTAAGGCTCGGGCGAAGTTGGCGTCCTGGAGGTCGCCTCCATGCTGCGCTGGCTGGGCTTCAGCATAGAGCCGGGGCGCCAGCGGATTCAGAGCAGGGGTTTTTGGGTGCGGGGCCTTGCCGTGGCATGCCTTGGTTGTCTGAGTGTGCAAGGTTGGACGTGGCCAACAGCTACTTCCAGGTGCCGGGCTTTCCGAAGAAGCTCACTGCGCATGTGTGTCTGTTGCAGCCATATCTGATCTGAAGAAAACTGCCAGTCCGTGAACTTGGATGGTGCAGACCGGATGGGCTTTGCGGAGTCTGTGGCTCAGATTTTCGGGCGTTGGTCGGTCTGACGCACTTCTGGGTTTTCAGCGGGTGTCGGCGTCAGCTTGAGGGGCTGGAGGTGTCATCGTCTAAAGGATAGGAAGGTATGGAGTGCAGCGTCTTGCCATCCGGGATGGCCGGAGCTGGGACAGGAAACTATGCCGAAGCTTGGAGGAGGGTTTTGATCTGTGGGATGCAGTGCACACTTCAGCTTTGAACTCCCCCTGACCACGGAAGTCTCGTGCCGCAAGCTTTGCAGAGCACAATAGGAGGTACGACAGATCGTGTTCAGGAATGGTGCGACCCATGCCTTATCAGTGCTTCGACGATTCGTGCTTAGAATTGTTTGGATGTGCACGCATGTCTTTGCACACTGTCGCAGAGAAAGTCTGCAGAAGCATCGGACAGAGGTGACATCGCAAGCTGTAGCTGAAGCCCTAGGCCCTAGATTGGGGTCACGTCTTGTCGTTCAAGCTTAGGGTAGCGCTTCAAAAGCTGATCGCTGGTCTGTGTCAAGACCAGCGATTGCAGCGGCCATGCATGTCTTCTGCAGCTTTGCTTGCCGATAGCCACAGGTTTCTACGTCTGATGCGGTCCGGGACCCAATTGCATCCTTTGCTGTTATTCCGAGCGTATCTTCTCTCTTGGCCCTCAGGTTGCACCGCGATGATTGCCTCGGCCACATGCAGGAGGCGCTTGAGTGTGTTGAATGTGGTTTTGTTTCAGCGCAGCCTGGAGAGCAGGTCTTCGACCGCAACTGCGAACAGGAACTTGTGCTGAAGCAGGACTGCTTGAAGCCAGAAGCTGAGAATGCCCGAGTGAGGGTGCGTTCAGGGTGCCGGGATTGGCAATGTATCGGATGCACTTGTCAGCAAACACTCTGCCAAGGCAGGTGCTCACGCAAATGGATCGGCGCGTCAGCGTCAACGTGATAAGCCAATGCTTGCAAGGCGAGGTGGCTAAAGCTCGGGAATCCGCGAGACGCTGAAACATAAGCTTATATGTTGTAGCACGTATATACATGGCAGTGTATTGTGCCATATCGGCCGTGTCACTGTGAGGGCGAATGTCCTTAACTTGCTTCTAGCATTACCACTGCTGTTCTTTCTTGCCACCACTGCATTCTTTGGGGTTGTCAGCATGAAATCATCATCATCGTCATCATCATCATCATCAAGGCCACCATCGTCTTTCGAATCACTCGCCTCGGAATGTGTGACAAGGCGTCAGGGACGCACGTTACATCGATTTCGTGCAGAGCTGAGAGACTGTGTGCTCTTATCAGCCACAAGCCAGTTGTAGGCATAAGGACTTGAAAAAGTCTTCGAGCTTCGGCCCAGGATGACTTCGTGCAGGTGACTGACAATATGCGGCGGCATATCCTGAACCAGATGCGGAAGCAGGCTGTGCACTCTGTCGTTTTGCTAAGACGTGCCTCCTACAAGCAGCCCTTGTGCCCAGGCGGGCTTCACAGACGACGAGGCCTAAGCCTGTCCAGCTTCATGTCACCGTCTCGCTATTGCACATAGTGGCTCGTAGAGAAGGTACGAACCTTCCAGCAGGCCTTCGATAAGCCAGGGACTAAGCTTCGTGCTGGGGCTTGCATTGGGGAATGGCTAGAGACCATCCCAGCTTTTCCACTTCCCTGCACCATGCATAGACTGTCAATGGGTTCGTCGGCGTGTTTATCCAGACAGATGGGATCGGGTTTCAACAGCTCTAACGCCTTTGAGTGTAGAGCAGCAGTCGTGCAAACTATGCTGGATGCGCACAGAAGGGTCGCAGCAGACAAGTGCAGAGTGAGAGAGCCGATCCTTCTTGCCTTGGCCACAGCGATTCAAGCACTGGCCACGGTTCGAACACCACGATTCAAGGACGCGCAATTCGAGCAGCAGCCGATACATCCGTCAGCGTTTCAGAGTAGGGTACAGTAAGGTTTAGAGTTTAGGGTGAACTTTGCAGGTTTGGTAAGCATTGTGTAGGGTTTAGGATATTGGGATTAAGGGTTAGGAGAGATAGATAATTCTTTGAAAATCACCAAATATCAAGAACCATGACGGAAAGTTAGGAAGCACGAGTCGGGAAACAACGACAGCAGCCGAGTCGGGAAACAGAGACGGTCGAGTCAGGAACAGGAACGGCCGGAGTCGGAAACAAAATGGGCCGGAGTTGGGTTGGGCATGCCACCTCTAGCCGTTTCTGTCCTGTACTGGCAGTAATTATTGATTTTTGATGAATAGTCATTCGATTCTGTGCCGAGGTTTACCGCAAACACGCACTCCCAGGTAAAACTCCAGCTTGCTTAGATCAGTTTGCGGTCGGGCCTGGGGGCTTCTGGTCAAAGGCAGGGAGCGCTACCCGAATCCACCGCGAGCGAATCCGGAGAGTCTCGCCATCCGTGCGGGAATCCAGGGTGCACAAATCGTGTCGGCTCGCGAATCTGCACCGTCAGAGCGCGAATCCATGGTGATCGGATCCGCCCGCTTTCAGTGCTCGAATCTCCGGCGCCAATCCTCCGCTCCAGCGTGCGAATTGTCCATGTGCGAAACCGCCACTCCAGTGCACAAACCCGTCTTCCAAAGCACAAGGCAGTTTTTTTTGGAATCGCTGTTTCGCTGCGTTCTCGAATTGGTCCATTACCTAAGCATGCCGAGGTATGATACCGATGGAAATCGGAAGCTGACGCGGGACGAAATGCCACCTCTTCTGGCCGATTTAAAGATTGATCTTCGCACAGCCTTGGACTCAGAGCCTCTGCTTTCCGTCCCAGATGCCGTTTGCACACCTGGCACAAAGCTCGTTTTTGTTGCTGTCGCCAGCAAAACAAGGTGGACGATCAGAGGCACTTCGTTCGCCCTTCTCTCAGCATGGTGCTGAACGGGTGGTTCGTGACGATGTGAGCGTCAGAAGCAGTGGTATTTGGTAGTACTCGTCGTCGTGTAGTAGTAGTAGTAGTAGTAGTAGGAGGAGGAGGAGGAGGAGGAGTAGCAGCAGTAGCAGTAGCAGTAGCAGTAGCAGTAGCAGTAGCAGTAGCAGTAGCAGTAGCAGTAGCAGTAGCAGTA